CATTCAGTGGAACAGAAAAAAATGCAGTAAAATGCAGAAAGTACATAAACTTTGAAAAAAGATTTCTATTTCTGAGTTGTTTCCTTAGGTATATTAAGAATCTAGAATCAAAAAAATATTAAGTCCCCTTCTTTCTAACTCAGGAGGAAGAACACTTTTACATTCTTGACCCTGTCCCTATTCTCAAATAGTTCTTCAAAATATTTTTAAAGGGTACACATACTCACACACCACACAAAGTAAACATCGTTTCCAAGAACCATGTTGTGTCAGATTATTAATATGTGTGTGTCCCACCAGCCATTTTTCAATGTCGCCTAAAATACACTAACTGGATGATGGAGGCAAGAAAGAGCACTTCAGTTCTAGAGCTGCCACAACCCCCCAAGGCTAAGCCAAGTTAGGAAAATGGAGCTTTTGTACTTCCAGATATTTTATTTTAGAACTAGAATAATAATGGGAAAGGAGAAATTACTGACAATTATTGGAAGGAACACTCTTATAGCTTCAAATATATTTTCAAGTTCTTCTCCAGAGAACACTGCCACTTGGTAAAAATGGGAGGACTGCCCTTACAGAAGGGGGCTTACAGGGTAGAAAGAGGGTTACTTCTTTCCAAATTTGAAGTTTATTTTTTTAATAAACTTTTTACTTTAGAACAATTTTAGATTTGTTTTAAAGGGCAAAAATAATACACAGAGTTCCCGTATACCCCATGCCTAGTTTTCCCTATTAATATCTTACTTCAGTATGTTACATTGGTCACAGCTGATGAACCAATATTGATACATTATTATTAGCTAAAGTCCAAATTTTATTCATATATCCTTAGATGTTCTCTAATCTCCTTTTTCTGTTCCAGGATACTACATTATTTTTAATCATCGTATCTCCTTAGTCTTCTCTTGACTGTGACAGTTTCTTAAGACTTTCTTTATGTTGACCTTGAGAGTTTTGAGGAATGCTGGTAAGGTATTTTGTTGAATGTCCCTCACTTGGAATTTATCTGAAATTTTTTTCTTGGTTAGGCTGGGGTTATGGGTTTGGGGGTGAAGATCACAAAATGCCATTTTCATCACCTCAAACCCAGGTCACATACTATCAACACGACTTGTCACTGTTGATGTTAATCTCGATCCCCTCACCGAGGTCCTGTTGGTCAGGCTTCTCCAGTGTAAAGTTGCACTTTTTCCCCCTCTCCATACTGTCCTCTTTGGAAAGAAGTCACTGTGTGTAGTCCACACTTAAGGAGTGAGGCGTTAGGCTCCACATCCGGAGTATCAACATGACTTGGACCTCTCCCACACCGTGGGTTTGTCCATTCGCCTCCATTTGCTTATTTAGTCAGCCACTCATTTATATCAGAATAGACTCATATTTATTTTATACTTTGAGTTATCATCCAAAACTATTTTCTTTATTTTGTTGTTCAGCTTTGGCCATCTTGTATATTCCTGCCCCAGTCCTAGCTATTTTTCCAAGAATCCCGAGCTCCTTTATTGGAGAATGGTATTAGAAACCAAGATCGCGGCTTTAGGGTGTGCTCACCACTTCCAAAACCTCTCAGCTGACAAGCAAGGAAATATATGTGTGTATGCTAACCCTTGGGAACAGTGTATCTACAATTATTTCTATGTGCAGCCATCCTTATCAATATTAAGCTAAGTGTGAAGTCATAGTAATGTCTCCAATTCTAACCCATTTCCACATGGATCATTCTAGCCTCTTCCCCTCGCTCATCTGTAACCTCACACTCCAACAGTGAGAAAGCTGGCTCCCACCATCTGCCATCCATTTACTTGCTTGTTCAAGTCCAGTATACATGTATAAGTGGTGCCAAAACTGTTGACCTGTTTGCCCATGGGAAAAAACTTTATTGACTATGGTATTATCTACAGTTCCTTTTACCTTTAGCTTTACAGACTCCACACATTTTCAGTTATTCCGCTCAGCACCTTTTCCCCATACCCGCTTCAGTAAAGTTGTTTCTGTCACATTGAGAATATCCTGGGTTCCTCTGACCTCCTAAATGATTATTTATTTATATGTAATAAAACAAAATAAGTTTTATTCACAAAAAGGAGTAGGGCGAGGGTGTGAAGGGGAGAAGCCACTAATGGCATTCGAAAGGAAAGGAACCAATTTAGAGATTTTCTTGAGTCTCTAATATCTGCTTCAGATAGAAATTTATTGAAAGTTATCATAATTAATTTATTTTTTAAATGTATTGAAATCTTTGCATACAGTAAGGGATGTGAGTAAAGATCAAAAGTAAGAAACACAGCTCCCTTTCACAATTAGACATGGATCTTTCTAGGAGTTTCAAGTAACTTCATTCAATTTTCTTACTTGTAAAATGAGAATAAAAAGTTTCCTAATTTATCGTAGGTACACCGATAGTATTCTGTCATACAAGGGTAAAAATATAACAACTATTTAGTTTTAATTGGAGGAAATAAGCTCTACCCAGTTATATTTTTCACATAATTGTGAATTTTATATTTTTACGTAATTATATTCATAAAGCATTGTAACACTGATGATTACTATTCAGTCATATCACTAAGGAATTATTTCTGTCTAGCACCCTGGGATCTTTAAGCATTTTAAAGTCCTTAAAGTATCTAAACAGTTACCAGTATATACCTAGATTTATTCTTAGCATATAGGAGACCTGACAGACATTTGGTGGCCATTCACAGAAGATTATCTTGACTATAATAAACTCCCTTCCCCCCCCCCCCCCCAAAAAAAGGGGAGAAAAACATCTTTTGAGAATTTTAAAAAAACCACACATTATCCTTGTAAGACTGTATAAATGCCATTTTTTTACTGACATATAATCACAAACTTCCAAGGATACAGTTTAAACTTGTGCTGTGATAATGCATACTGAATTACTGGAAAAGGAGACATCGAGAATAAATTCACCAAGTCAGCCTTTGCAGGAGCAAATTGTGCCCAAAGACCTCTTTAGTTTCTTTACAGAAACCAGCATTTATCCATAACTCGTTCCTACTCAACGCTTTACATATAATGTAATTCACAAATCTACTCTCTTTCTTTATAGTGAGCACTGAGAAGGAAGACAAGTTTGAGGCCATTAATGGCTATTTCTTCCAAATACTGTCAATAGTTTCTTCTTCCCCATTATTCAATTCAAAAATGAAATACCGGGCCGGCCGAGTGGCGCGATGGTTAAGAACTGGCTTGGGACGTCAGAGGGCCCTGGTTTGGATCCCACATATGAGGGCCAGTGACACTGCCCTCTACAGCTAAGATGCTGAACAACAGCTCAACCTGGAGCTGGGCTGCTGTGAGTCGCAGGCGACGGTGTAGGCTGCAGCCCCTGTGGCAGTGGGTTGCCATGGGCTACCGTGTGTAGCCAGCAGCCAGCGTGAGCGGCCAGCAGCCGCAGTGAGCGGCCGTCCAGAAGCCGGAGACTGATCTGTCTCACCCGGGAAGAGCGCAATGATGGTGCCAACTTGGGCCAGTGAAGCAACGTCCTCCACAACTAGACTGAAGAACAAAACGACAGCAACTTGTCTGTTCCCCTTCCCCCAATTCCCCAGCACTGTTCCCATCTCCCGAATTCCCCAATAAAAAAAAAAATCTTAAAAAAAAAAAAATGAAATACCTGGAAATACAAAAACTACAATTTCCTAGTTAAGTATTCAGAGACAGCATATTGTTAAATCTTACTGAATACTCCATCTTTAATAATTTCAAAAATTTTTGAAGATACAATAAGAACACCTGTTGCCTTCCCTCATGGCCTCCCACAAATATCTAATAAGTTATCCTGTCAAGGAACCACTATGCTTTTGTAATTAAGCAAGTTTGTAGCCACCCTGTATTTCCCTAAAGGCGGCCTCAGGCTCTAGCAGAAATAAGACAGGAAGTGAACTCATTCCAAGCAGGGCAGCAGACCAGAGCAGGAGGTAAGATTAGAAGCAAGGAACAGGATAATTAGAGCTCAAAGTCAAAGCGATGCTTTGAAAAAAATCTCAAAGGTTTTCTGGGGGGTGGGCTGGGGAGAGATGTAAGCAGTTTACCGAGACCACCGCCTCCATGCAGGGAGAACAAGGCTACAAACGAAGGTGCTCAAAACAGGCTCACAGAGGTCAGCGTCCCTCCAGCCAAGCTGTGCAGTCATTGCCATATTGATTGGCAGTACATTAGCACAAAGAAACAGGTACAATAATGAGGAATCAATAGAGTCTGATTTAAAAATTCTCAAATTCTAAAAATTGGTGGAGGAGCAAGAACAAAAGGACAAATGGCTGCCTAAGTATTTCCCCTGGAAACAATGTGCCATCGGTTCCTTCTCCCTTCACTAAAAACCAGCAGTCTCCTTACTATCACATACCAAGAATCATGACCAAAGAACAGTGTGCCCCATCAGCAGGACGGTCACACTGCTCAGAAATAGGCCTTTGGAAGGCTTTGGGGTTCACATTATATGACAGCTGACAAAGTCCAAGGAGGCACAGCTGCCAAGAGACAGGTACAGTAAGCAAGTCACGAAGCAGAGCTGACTTTATTTGGAAGCACTTTGCCAGGCTTCACACCACCTCACTTGGCAGCAGTCTCCTCCCTCAGCGGGGACGCGAAGGACTTTTGAGAGAGGACTCGTTCAGAGACCCATATCACTCCCATCGATAGCACTGCAAGTCGCCAGTAAAGACCTTAATGGAGAGCTGGGCTCGGGATTTTATCCTAAGGCTTGCCTTTCAACCTCCTAACTCAGAAATACAGGGCTTAATGAGGAAATCTTTTCATCCTGACTTAAGGGAAGTAATCCTATTAAGAGTTGAGCACGCCTGGGAATTCACCTGTTTCCCTGGGGGTCTAAGAATCTGAGGCTGGATGGGTCATGCCACAGAATAAGAGGGGCATTTTTGCAGAGTTGGTCCCCATCTGAGAGCGTTCTTGCAGAGATTCATCTCCCAGTGTGTGAGATCAACAGACAGCGGGCTGCGGAGTGCCCAAGAACCTACCTGCCACTCTGGTCTGAGGTCCACGTAACTGATCGCCCCTGGGGTTTGGTTCTGTACCATATCCTTACGGCGTGGGGAAAGTCAGTAGCTGTCTGAGCCCCTCTTTTCCTGATCTGTAAGCTCCAAGTGTCAGTGTCAAACAGGAGTTCTCCACAGCCAGGAGCCTGGCTGCAGCAAGCAAAATAGTCTAACTGCTCCCTCCAACGATCTGCAGGCAGAGTCACAAGTTCATGTACAATCTGATTCCTGAGCTCAGAAACAACCGTGAGCTTGGGAGACCTTGTAAATTTTTCAATACCTGGCACAGCAGCAACATCCACCTCCTCAACCTTTAACACAGATAAATCACAGCAGTCCAACACGAGCACAAAATCCTCACTCCCATGATTCCCTGTGTCACAGCAGTACTTTGAGCTAGAAATCCCAGAAGCCTGTTCCCAGTTGTCATGGTTACCATCTTTACCAGAAGTATCTTTTTCACCTTTACCACACATTGCAAAATCATTGTATCCCGTTTTAGATGAGAAGGTCCTTGTACTTGTCCCAGGAACGTGGCAGGGTTCCGGCATTCTAGCTGTGCAGGCTTCACTTGACTCAGATTGGCAGGTCTCCTCAGTGGAACTATCCTTTTTCCTGAATCTGTTTTCAGGATCATCAGGCGCAAAGAAAAGCACAATGGTGCCCTCCATGACTTGACTTTCAAAATCCACCTCTAAATCCAGTGCATAGTGCTTCACAAGTATGTGGCTAGTGTTGGCCATGAGAGGCAGGTCATCTCGGGAAGGGTCCAGCTTTCTGTCCATGCTGGAGGTTGTGGACAGCTTTGTTAAAACTCTCAGACGGGGCCTCCTATTTATCTTAATCACCCGGAATCATACACGACTGCTTGCCACAAAAAAACCTGATGTCACAAATGACGGTTCCACAACTTTCAGTCCCCTGGCAAAGAAGAAAAACACAATTAGACAAAAATCCAGGAGAGAACCTAATGCTCCCGCAGCCGCTGCTTCTTCTGCACGTTGACGACTTCCTGAAATGATCCCCCAATGTGGCAGAAGCTCATGGCTACAAGGCAGGCTAATCTTTGTGACTGACATCAAAGAAAGCTGCATTATGGGTTTCTAAAAGTATTTCAATAACCAGTGGAATGAAAAGGGCCTCCACAAAGCCAGAACCATGCTCCCAACTAGAACAATCCTTGTTTTGGAAAAGAGCAATTGTTATGCAAAAGCGTAACCAAGCATCACTGTGCATCTCGTTTTAAAAGATATTAAATGTATCATTTCTAATTTTGTCAAAAGATAAGTAATTGTTTCTCTACTGTGATTCTAAGTAACAAATGTGAATGAAGGCTAAATGGCCTCATACGTTTTATTCTTTGAGAGCAATAATTTAATACATACAATGTAACTCCAGGGATTAATGTACTTTTCACATTAGGACGGCTCTCGTATCAGCACTTCCAGTAAATTACAGGAAAATGAGCCAATTTACCAGGAGTGCATTCCAAGTATTCCTTTGAGATTGTTCATGGAGATTTTTCAAATTTATAGTTAAATACTCAAGGTATATCATTACATCTTAATAGCTGAAAACCCATTAACATTCTGAATAATAGCCTTCTTGTGGCAAACAAAAAGGTCTTCTCATTTGAAAAAAAGGTATGCAAATACCTATAAAAAAGGAAGGAGAGAAATTAAAATGTAGAAACAGATGTGGTAATAAAATGCCCAAGTTCTTCATAAAAGTTCTGAATCAAAATGTAGTCTTATTTTATAATAGCAATTCAGCTAAAAAAATTATTTGAAATTATTTCAGTTCCTGCTGTGTACCTAATTTCTTTCAGCATATGCTATTATTTTTATTATTATTCTTTTACCAAAAATGAAAAATAAAAACTTGGGCAGAGTAGATACACTTAAAACAGTTTTTGTATTTATAAATATCAGGAAGTATTCTTCTAGCAACCAAAAAAAAAAATACTTGCTTGACTTTTCAAGTAAGTTGAGCCTCCCTTTTTACCCTGTTTAACTCCTCCTCACTTCCCTTCTGACTACCTGCATGTCTACTAGACTCTTATTTCCTTTCCTTCTAGAATCTCATTCCAGCAATCAACTTCATTGAATTTTCATTTTCTACCTCCCCATAGGCTATTTCCTCATCAAAATCTCACCTAGCCTAAACAAATCTGGCTTCCTGCCGCCTTATACAATCAGCTTTCATATTTTCCCAGTCATGGTGACCACACTCCCTTTGCATCCCTGTCCTCTAGCCAAGGGCCTGCTCAACACACTGCTCCCTGAAGATGACCTGACATCACACCTCCTTGTTTTCTGGACTAAGCAATGCACCACACCTGGAGTGCTCCTGGTTCCCACCTCCCACATTCACCTGCCAAAGTCTATTCTCTCTCCCAGTTCAAGTGCAATCACCTCCCCAAATCCTTCTCTGCTCCCTGCTCCCTACTCTCCCTCTCCCCACCAAACTGTATGTGGTTATGTACAAGGTGTGATCTAAAAATGCTTAAATTAAAAAAAATTATTACAGTAAAAGGCACATTGCCATTAATCCCCCTCAAAATACTTCCCCTCGCTTCGAACACGCTTATCCTATCGTTCTTGCCACTTTCTGAAGCAGTTCTGGAAGTCCTCTTTCGTGTCTTTAGTTGTACTGTTGTAGCTGCCTCGATGTCATGAATCAATTCAAAAAGTTTTCCTTTCATGGTCATTTTGATTTGGGGGAATAGCCAGAAGTTGCACAGTACCAGATCTGGTGAATAAAGTGGATGAGGACACACCATAATGTTTTTGACAGAAATTGCCGCACCAGAAGCGATGTGTGACACAGAGCATTGTCATGATGGAGGATGAAGTAAAGACACCCATGAAAGAGGAGTTCGAGAACTGCTTCAGAAAGTGGTAAGAATGATGGGACAAGTGTGTTGTTCGAAGCGAGGGGGAAGACTTTGAGGGGGAATTAATGGCAATGTGTCTTTTACTGTAATAATCTTTTTTATTTAAACATTCACTATAGTTTTTGATCATACCTCATACACTTTGACTTTTAAGAGTAATAGGAATTGAGAGAAATCAGGGATGTAAAGAGTAGTTTGACATTACTTTATGGAGAAGTTGATACTTCTCTTGGTCCTAGAAAAGTGAATGGGCAAAGGAAATGAGCCCGGGTATTTTCTTTTCTGCAAGACAGTGACTGAACTTGTCATGTAAAGAATAATAAACTTCAGTAAAGCCCATTGGCTAGATCTATGTAATGAAAAACGGACATTAAAAATTCATTCTGCTGCTACCATGTAGTATTTTGTTGATTGGGCTCTTTAAAAAAATTGTTTAATAAAAAAAACCCCTGCACGCACACACACGCACACACGCGCGCGCGCGCACACACACACACACACACACACACACACACGAAGAAAATCTGAATCAACTGAGATAAGGATTAACTTAGTGGCTGTCTACACTATCATATTTGAAGAAATATAGTTTAGCATTTGTTACAGAATTGATATAACCATTCACTGTCCAACCCTAATAGGTTCCTTCATTTACTTGTGAAAATTAATATAACTTAAGAATAAAATATATTCTGTAGAGTTGTTTTCACCACTTCTGTCCCTGGTGGCAGAGAACGAGACTGCCTTAGAGCGCTACCCATCCAGGCCTGTTAACGTCGCCTTGTTTGTCACCCTAACTGGCTTTCCTTTGGTCCTCTTCAGGGGCTTCTTCCCCACAGATGCAATTCTAACTCTGTTCTCCCTTTAACTTTGCAACTTCATGCCTGCTGGATTATTCACAGCTATTTGGCCTCCTCCTTTCCTGAGGTGACTCTGAATCTCTGATGCCCCATCATACATACCTCAAGGATCTCTAGTTCTTCCCAACTATTGCCTTCTCCTGGTTCAGAGGAAACTATATCCCTTCTCATTAAAGCTGGTTTCCTTCCCCTTACATCCCAGGTTCTGGGGTCTGAGAGGCCCAAATAAACAGCACTCTTCTTGCCCATCTAAATTCTAAACATTCTGAGAAATAAGATGAGGATATGGCAGAGGGAGACCAAAACGTCACACTACTGATGAAGGCTAAACTGGAAAACCTGGTTTAGCATGGGAGCCAAGCCAAAGTTACCTGAAAACCAAAACCCAAAATTCAACAGATTTATCCATAGGGTCACAGGTAATGCTGGTTCAGGTCAAAGCTCCCAGAAGAGGAGGTACCCACCCCAGGTAAGACGTAGGGCTTGGGGAAGTCAGGAGAGCAGCTCTTTGTGGTGGGGAACACTGCCCAAAAGCGACAGGGAGGAGCTGAGTTGAACTGAGCAAAGCATGCAGTTAATTCTTCCCAAATTTACCAGAATCAGTCACTCCACCTCCCTGAGAGTAAAAGTAAAGTGACCAGGAATGTTAGAGTATCAAGAACAAGAAAGGAAACAGCAGAAATGAGAAAGAAGTCTTCCCCGCAACACCATCCCCTCCCACTAATTTGGAATCTTTTTTTTATCTGACATTTTTCTCTAGCCAACATTTTGTCCCTTTCCATGTTTCTATCCTATTCTCAATGTTTCAAGCACCCCAAGGCTGCCACCTTTAAAAACAAATATATATATATATATGGCTATATACCTTACACTAATACAATGTTATATGTCAATTATAGCTCAATAAAACTGGAAAAAGCAAAAACTGTATTTGGCACTGTTGCCCATTTTAACTAGTCTTTATTTCACTGAACTTTGGAGCTGAAAAATTCCTTAGAGCTCATTTAGTCCAACTCTGTTTTACAAATAAAGACAATGAGGCCCAGAGAGGCAAGCAATTTGTCCAAGGTCACCCATTTCTGATGCTTTTCCTTGGAATTCTCATCTTCCAGCTCTCATGGCCATTTCCTTCACATTGTCCAAGTCATAAATCAAATGTCACCTCTTAAGACTCTTTTCCATATCCCTGTTCTACTGTTTTTTTAAATCTTCTTTAAGTTGTGTGAACTAGAATCATATTGTAACAGCTTTGAGGAAGAAAGGAGAATTTCAAGCCAGCCCCAGAAGATTCAGAAGGTCACCACCACCTGTGCACGATGTTCATCCTGAGTTACATATGATGTGAAGTCTATTAAAGCCTGTAGCTTATTACGCCTACTTTGTGCTTGCCCTGGATCCACAGATGACCTAAATCTCCGTTTTCTGGGAGTCCCTAACTCTCACTGACATCAGTCAGTGCCACAGGCCCAGGCTTAGGGAGGAACCGAACTGACTGCGGTTGCAAACACGGGTAGGTGGCCGCCTTGAAAGGCCTCTCTCAGCAAATAGTAACCATATTTCTAAGCAATCCGTTGACTTCAGCACTTTCTGCTATTATTGTGCTCCAATTTAAAATGCCAACCCTTCTCACTAAAGTATTTTTCCGTTCTCTGTCATAAGCCATAACATAAAATTCCCCTCTTTATCAAACCCAATGGTTAGTTTCCAGTGGCTAACCACTGCTGCCTCTAAAATGTGGTGTATATTTTAAAATGCTTAAATGATTGTCTCAGCAACACCATTAAAGGTTTCAAAAGGCTTACTACTTTCTTAAGAACAGGGGAAGGGTGGGTAGGAAGAGGATCAAACACTAAACAGAGCTATGGCACAATGAAAAAAACTGCCCTGCCACTTTAAATCACCCAAACAGAAACGCATGCAATCACAAATGTGTGAATAGCCTCTGCAGCGCCATTCTGGATCCCTCCAAAGAAAATCATTTCATTCTCCTTTCAAGCTCCAAAGCTGTGTCTCACTCTCAGGGTCTTTATGTTATCCTGTCTCGCTTCACAGTTACCTCCAGCTTCCACTAGTCTATAAACAACATGTGACTCCTGATTCATCTTTGTGTTCACGACCACGTTAAGTAGAGTGCCCTGTACATAGCAGGTTCTCAATAAATGTCT